TGCGGTTTTCCCTCTGCGCCTCTTCACACGAGCTGCTCGTAGAGCTTAATTCCTCCCCCCCCCCTGCGCAACCCTGCGTGTGCTGCTGACGGGAGGGGGCCCGGCCTCCCGCCGTGCAGGTTCCTTTCAGATCCCAGGGCTGAGACGGCCTCCGCTGGGATTCCGGGAGGAGGGCGCTTTTTAAGCGGGCAGCCGGAGGTGCCCTGCGCTTTCCCTCCCTGGCGCTCTCTGCCTGGGGAAGGGAAGGGAAGGGAAGGGCGCTCTCTCTCTCTCTCTCTCTCCGCTCAGCCTCCCCTCAAGGCTGATGTGCCCATTTCCTCTGAGCTCTGCTTCATACTTTGAACAGGGTTTCTGCATCTGGGAGGGCTCCGGACTGCTCTGTACAACTATCTTTTTGCCCAGAAGCACCAAGGCAGCTTCATCCTTCGACTGGAAGACACCGATCAAAGCCGTGTGGTATCGGCAGCTTCTCAAAGCATAGAGGATGTATTGGAGTGGGCAGGTAAGGGCCAGAGCCTGTTGAAGGGGATGAAGTGTGGTTTTTCTTCCTTTTTAAAGCCTTCTTTTTTGCTATAATTTTAGCAGTATTTTTTCTGCCAGTGTGATGGGGGCACATCCCCAGGAGCCAGAGAGAAGTTGGGGGGAAGGGGTTGCATGTGGCTGCAAGCGGTCCATCCCTGTTCCAGACCCATTTTGTGGGTGTTAGAGATTCTGCCACTGCAGGAGGGAATGGAAAGTGCAGCTGGCCTTGTTCTTTGTTCAACACACTTCCCTATGGTAACAGTCCATCCAGTCTGTGTTTCTAGTCCTGTTGGAGGCTTAACCCCCATACCAGCAATAGCAGCTGTAGAGCTTTCCCAAGTCTGTTGGTGCATCTCTGAACACCACACAGTGATGCCCGGAGTATAGAGAGCTATCCTTCCTGCTGTTGATCTGCCTGTTTTATGTTGGGGAGATCCCTGTGGGACACTTTCTCAGGGTCCAGAGCTTCCTTGCGGACTCGCTTTCACCTGATACTTGTGGCCAGCTTCTTCCAGGGTCTGTAACCCTTTGGGTAAGTGGACCTTAGGGGTGTGCATCAATTTCTAGTCAGTCAGCCTCCTGAGAATGAAATGTGGGGATTTTTAGCATATCGGTGAATGTGCCGCCAACTGGACCCTTGCTCTAGCTTACAGGGCTCCCCGAGGGTGGAGGGGCAGAGCCTGTGTGGCCAGTAGATTGGGCTGGACTGTGGTTTTGTCATCCCTCTGCCTTGCTCATAGCTGCTGTCTGCCTGCAGGCCTGCCACCAGATGAGAGCCCTCGCCAGGGAGGCCCCGCTGCCCCTTACCAACAATCCCTACGATGTGACTTATATAAGAAATACACAGAACTGCTTCTTGAGAAGGGGGCTGCCTACCGCTGTTTTTGCACGCCCCAGCGCCTGGAATTGCTTAAGAAGGAAGCACTGCGCAATCAGCAAACTCCACGGTAAGTACTGTTGATGTTGTGAGGCTGAACTGTAGCATCGGACCCTTAAATTCTCGCCTTATCCTGTGGTTGGAGGAAGAGGCTAATTTCAGAGTAACTTCAGTTGTGCAAAGTTAATCCATCCCTTCTGGGCATCTTAAGAAACACTACATGACCAATCTGATGTTTTCCAGTTCCTCATCCTGCTGCTTAAAAAGCAAAGAAATGTTATCCCTGAGCCCAGCCCTTTGCAAGCAGAGGGACATCAGAAACTCTGTTCAAGGGAGTCACAGCCCTTTTGGGTAGTGTGGGTCTCCAGAAATTCAGGAAGGGCTTTCCCTCAATAGAAGGGAATCTATATAGCTCAGGGTTGAACTGTGGAGTCCTTGGTGTTCTCTGAGCTTGGTTGTTTTCTTGCACTAAAGATCTTACCTTAGCCGGGTAACGAAATGTTTGCAAGAAAACAAGCTCAGAGAACCCCAGGGACTCCATAAGACTTTTTCTGCTGGAAATGGCTGGGATTGATTCTGGAACTTTTTGCAAGGAAAGTACTAAGCCCAAAGGTCGTCTTTCTATTTTCAGTCTGTTTTCCTAGTTTTTTCCAGCCCTTGCTTCACGTTGGTAGCACCTGCAGTCACGGTGAGAGTTGATGTTCTTTTTTATTCTTTCCTTCTCTAGGTATGACAACAGGTGTCGTCACCTAAGCCCCAAAGAGGTTGCTGAGAAGATGGCTCAAGGTATTAACTATGCAGTGCGCTTTTGCCTAGAAGAGCGGTCGGAGCCGTTTTGTGATCTAGTCCATGGGTGGAGCAAGCATGATGTGGCCAGTGTGGAAGGTGATCCAGTGATTTTGAAGAGTGATGGCTTTCCAACCTATCACCTGGCCAACGTGGTAGATGACCACCTGATGGGGATCAGCCATGTTCTGCGTGGAATTGAATGGCTTACCTCCACCTCCAAACACCTCCTCCTCTACAGGGCCTTTGGCTGGGACCCACCTCATTTCGGGCACCTTCCACTACTCCTGAACAAAGATGGCAGTAAGCTCTCCAAGAGACAGGGACATGTTTTTGTGGAAGAGTTTGCTCAAGATGGCTATTTGCCAGAAACCCTCCTGGATCTCATCACGCACTGTGGCTCAGGGTTTGCAGGTAATGCAGTCATACCACGTAGGTGAAGGAAGGTGAATGTGTGTTATTTTCAGGACCGTTTGTGTCTTACTTTCCAACCGTGGCAGGGACAGCATGCAGGAACTGGTATAAAGGCCCACTCCCTCAGCAGGTAATTTGTACCCCTCCCTCTTTCTGGCCTGCTCTTGGTCCCTTGTCCTCAGCCACTACAGCTCCTGTTCTAAATGGTTACCTGCTCTCCAGCCTGGGGGTCCACTTGCTGACCATCAGTCGCATGGAGGCACGTGGAGATGGGAATGGTTGGAGATTGAGGGATGGGCAGGTAGAAGGGGCTGTGGATAAAGTGGGAGGAATGACTGTGGCACCTGCACATTGAAAGGGATTGTAGAAATCAAGTGTCTGTGAAGAGCAAGAGCAGCAGCTCGATCTGTTTTGCAGAGAATCGAGTGGGACGAACACTGAAGGAGCTGGTTGATGAGTTTGATCTGAGTAGGATTGAAAGGCACTCAGCCCTCCTGGATCTGCAGAAACTGCCAGAATTCAACAGGTGGAGAAATTGAAGGGGCTTCATACGTCTCCTGATTCATTGTTGCTCTCTAGCTTATGACAGTATAGCCAGCTCCCTGTTCAGTGTTTTGGAGGCTGGTCCCCCTGTCCCACCTTGGTTTCTTTCACCTCCTGCTTGAAGTTGACTAGGAGTAATGGGGGAACCACAATTTCTTTCCCCAAACTTTCCCAAGGTGTCAGCATATCTTGCTGGAATAGTCTGGAAAAGAGCATTGCCAGATTGGGCTCTGCATTACAAGGGGGCTGAGCTGGGGGGTGTTTGTTGGGGTTGGTCATGTGGCAGGCCATTTTAGTGATGTGTGTTCATCTTAAGGGTTGCTATGGCTTCGTTCCAGAAGAGGCCCAGATGTGTCTGCCTGTATCTAACACATTATTTTGCATAGGATCCACCTGGCCCGGCAGATTGGAGATGAGACGCTACGGCAAAAGCTTGTGGCAGAGGTTCAGGCCTCTGTAGAGCAAGTCTATGGGAACCAGCTTCTGGACAGAGAGGTCCTTGAGAAGGGCTACATAGAGCAAGTGCTGCTGCTGAGAAGAGTAAGTCAGAAGCAGTTTGTTCCCGGGGGTCTGCTGTGGATTCCTGCCAACCGACTGTTGTCTTTAGATGTATGAAAACTCCATGGCCCCATATATGTGAACCACGTGGGGGCGGCGTATGCTGGCCTGTGCTAAGATGAGTGCAATCTGGATAAAAGGGCTTTTAATTCCTTACCTGACCAGCAAGTATGGCCTGTATGGCTGTAATGCTTGTTAGTTGTCCATGGTGGATCATTTGGCAAGTTGAGTGAAGCGCTTCAGCTGAAGGACAGCACCTCGGAGAGCAGGACGGGGGGGCGGGGAGAAGGCAGCAGGGGCTCTCCCTCCTGGGCACTCTGTTTCTCAAAACTCCTTCTTCCCTAGGGCCACATTAGCCATCTGAAGGACTTGGTGTCACCCAGCTACACTTTCTTGTGGATCCGACCCTCTGTGCCTTCTGAGAAGCTGCTGGCTGTCTCCACTGAGGCAGATGAGATAGGAAGAGTGGTCCTCAGGTAAACTGGCCACCATCTTGGTGGGGAATCTTACTTATTCTTGGGGACAGTTTCCTATTTGCCATCACTGTAAACATCCTCATGTGAAAATTAGCATTTTCCTTGCTAGAATAAATTTCTGTTGTCAGTGGGCCTCCCTCAAATGGTACATGCGCCATGTGAAAAGAGAATACAAACTGTTGTGATGAAGTCTCTCTGTAGTAATTTTAATGAAATGAAAGTTTCATCAACTGCCAGAACTGTGGCATTAAACTAGCAGCTTGAGTTTGTACCATGGGATTGGTCTTAAGATGCCTGCTGGATTCAAATTTAGATGGACTTTGACACTCCGGTGGGGCAATCAGATGATCACATCAACAAGCGTTTCTGCTATTTGTCCAAGGGTTCCCCAAAAGAGTCCTTTGGAGGTGCCTGGCCCTCTATTGAATGCCAGGTTCTCAGAGTGTGGTTGAGAAGTTAAGCTGGGCCAGCTCAAGGCCCCTCATCTTCTGGCCCAAACTTTCAGCCTGCTCTGGATTGACTGCATCACCTCTTTTCTCCTGAAGGCTGCTGGAAGGGCCAGTGACTCAGAGACCTGAAGAACTTGGCCAGCAACTGAGGCAGCTGCATGAGCAGATAAGTGGCACCAAGTACAGCAGTATGATGAGGCTCCTCCGCCTTGCCCTCAGTGGCCTGCAGGCGAGTCTCCTTCCCTCCTCAGATCCTTCCTCTGTTCTGGGTTTGACTTGGGGGAACTGTGCTCACTTGCGCCTCCCTGTGTGGTAACCGCCCTTCTGTTTCAGGACGGACCCAGCGTTGCTGAGATGATGGTCCTGTTGGGACCCAAGGAGACCGGGGCTCGGATACGGGGGGCACTGTGCAGCGGACCTGCTCCCTGAGCAGAGGCAGAGGGAGAACTCTGGCGAGACTAAGCGTGGCGGAGCTAGGTAAAGACCTCCAAGGCTTGAAGGCAGTGCACAGAGAATATTCACTGATTTTACAGCAACATGGCCTGGTGCTGATGGATGCTGGGTTCGGATTCAATAGAAAAGGAAAAATACTAGCTTGATCTAAAGGCCTGCTGAGATTACATAAAGACCAGTCCTAGCATCCTGTGTGGTATTCCTCCTCTAGTTGCCGTGGGCCAAAGGACCAAACTGGGCTCTGAAAGTGCAAGTGATGTGGGAGTTAGGAAATCAGGATCAACTCTCTTGCGTGTTTTTGTTGAGCTATACCTAAATTTTCCTAACCCAGATGAAAGCTCAGATTCAGCACGTGAATCTGCACGTGTCCCCCAAGGACAGTTGATTTATCAGAGAGAAGTCCAGGCTTCATCCCTCCTTCTCCCCGATTTGCTGGTTTTCTAGGGGCAGGGAGCTTTCCAATAGCGGGGTTCTTGCTACAGAAAGGTCTCTCTGCAGCTGAACCTTGTGAATCCCTCCCTCCCTCATCTGCTGTGCAAGGTGAGATTGGGTCCTGAACTCTGGGCTTTAATCAATAAAGACTTTCACATTGTGACATGTGTGGCAATGTCTGTCTGTTGTAGGTGAGCACGTGTGGCTGGCAAGTGTGCCACTGAGGTTCATCCCTGGGCTGCAGACAGGGATGGTGCTTGGTGCTGGGCTGCTTCTGCTAAATAGTTTGGCTTTTTTCTGAAAAAGGAGAGCCTCTGCTGGAATACTCAGGCTGTCCTTGAGGGAGCCACTCATTTGGAAGCCTTGTCAGTGGGAAGAGACTGATTCACACACTATTTGCAGCCCTAAACCACGATTAACAAGCCAAACTGCTCACCACATGTGCAGCTAGTCCAGAGCATGGCTTAATGGGAAGGCCAGGATGCAGGCACTGCATTAGCAGATGTGCTTAGCTGTGGTTTCCCTAATCAACCCACTTCTGGCTTTGCAGGAGGTGGTGAAATGTAAACAAACTGGGCTAGGTTCATCCAACATGGGCTGAAATGCGGTTGGTTTGGTGTGTCACGAACTTTCAGAAAAGTGAACAAACCCCAGTTTAGCCAGTTGTGTGAACAGGAGGCCTGTCGGGCCAGGAAACTGGCTCCATCCTAGCCGGCTCCGTCGCCTGTCCCTGACGCTCCACTCCAGGTGCTCCACCCTGGAAGTCCCGCCCGGCGTGGAGGCCTCCTTTGGGAGGGCTGCCCAGCTTGCCTCGTCTGACATCAGACGCCATTTGCCCACAGGACTGAGGCGGCTGCTGCAGGAGAGCCCTCTGCCTGCCAGGTTCTACCCCGCCGGGCAGCGGAGCTTTCTCTCGGCTGGCAAGAGAGTGCTGAGCCACAGAAAGGCGGTGGCGGCCCTGGCTGTGAGGCAGCTTCCCGGGGCCCTCTGGGGCGATGGCTTCGCAAGTGTGGGGGCCAAGCGCCAGGTGGGACTGGGCTGGTCTTCTGCTCCTCTGCGCGTCTCTGCCGGCGTAGCTGGAGTGGGGTCTGCGCGGCTTGTACCCTGGCTGCAGGGGTGGGAGGAAGCGAAGCGAGGATGGCGCAGGCGAGGGGCATGTTTCCAGCGGGGGTCTAGAGCACACTTGGGTGGAGGGGCGGGCGGCAGCGGGCATCCGTCCTGTCCTGGATCTTCCCCTGGAATGAGTAAAAGTAGCGATGCTTCCCGAGACAGCCCGGGATTTGACTGCCCCCAAAGCGACTCGAGCCTCCTGCTCCTCCGGGTCCCGCTCTTTGTCCTGGGACCCGGGCAGCATTGCTGAATAACGACGTTGGGGAAGTCTGCGAACCCACGCCTGGCCTGGCGCTCCTGTTTGCGTGCCTTCCTCTGTCGGCCACCGCAGCGCTTCCCACCCGCAAAACCAAAGCTGAGGCGGGAACCGCAGCGAACTTTCCGCTGATGCGCCTGACGGTGCTGGGCGGTGGCCCAAGGCCTCCAGTGAGCTTCTCCTCCGGGCCAGACCTGCAGCAGAGACGTCTTGAGGCGAAGAAGGAGCTTGGGGTTCCTGGCTGCCCCGTCCCCAAAAAGAGGGAGGGAAGGAGCCGTGGAAGGGTTGGGGATGATGGAGCAACTGGTGGGGGTAGGCAAGGAAGCCAGAAGGGGCCCAGAACTGCCTTGGAGAGGGTTGAGCCACCTGAAGGGAAAGGAGGGCATCTGACGGGGGACTGGGTTCCTCTGCTGAACCCCCCTCCCGCTTGGTACTGAAGTTTTGAGGCAGGGCTTTTTTTTTTTTTGCCTCAATTTATTTGTCATTTCAAGGAAAATAATATGTCTGGCTGGCAGAGCCCAAGGAGGCAGCCCTCTTGGCGCAAGACTTCTGGTATGATTTTGGAATTCCACTGGTTCTGAGAGGTTGGAGACCCTTGAGATAAAGAGGGGGCTAACTTGGATGTGCTGTCTCCTGTTTCCAAAAGGATGACATGAAAGTGACCATCTGGTTCCAACCTCTTCTGGCCCCCCCGCCCCCATCACCACAAGGACCTCCATAGACTCTAGAAAGCTCTGGGAAAGGAGCTGGGAGGGTTACCGGCTGTGCACCCCTCCTGTCCCCTTCACCCGTTCCTCTCCAATTCCAACGCTTCGTTGTACTCTGATTCCTGATCACCATCCTCTTTGCCCCCACAGGCACAATTCCACATCTCACCCTCTATGAGCAAAACGGCCAGAAGGCCATGCTCCGATTCAGCTCCTGGCCAGCCAACCACCTGGGTGATGGTGCTGCCCGGGCTGCTGTCCCCAGGGTGAGTCACCCAAAGGGCCCTTCCCTCTGAGCTTCCAGGGCACCCCCCACTTGGGACTTGCCACTCCAAGAACTTTCAGAGGGGAGTGGTTTTAGTTAGGACAGCATGAATAACAGAGTCTGGGTGGGGAAGCTTGTGCTAAAATGGCTCTGGCAATGGGAAACAAAGCCAGATTGTACTTCTGAGGGTGACAACCTGGATCCCAGGGGGAGGGAGTGCTCTTCCCGCTGGATGCCCTGGTGTGGGGGAACACACTGGAATCAGGAGCCGTGAGCCTTTCTCGGGGGAGCTGCGTTTACTTTGCCAAGGGTGGCTGGGGTGTGGGTGGGCCCCGTTTCCCCTGCCTGCCTGACTGCCCACCAGATGCACTGGGGAAGCGTTTCTGGGAGTCCTGCCGTATCTCAGCTGTGCCGCCAGGCTGCGAGTCTCTCCTCAGGCAGGCTTTCCTGGGCCCACCGTTGGTAGCATTTGGTTAGCAGCCAGAGCCTTCCCCTCCGCTGATTTCAATCTCCCACCCCTGAATTTGTTGATTTTTTCCCGCTCCTCTTCCTGATTTTTTTTAACTTAACCTTCTGAGGTGATTCATTTTGGACTGGAAAGGGAGGATGGAGACCTTTTAACCTCACGCAGTCTTTGAGGTGTTCGGGAGAGCCATGGGTTTCCCTGCAGGGCTGAGGTTGCACTCAAGCCTTCCTCACTGGTTTCTCCTTCTGGCGGATGAATGGCAATCCAGTGTCAGCCAGCCACAGGGCTGGACCTTCCAGCTGTGATTTTGCAAGTCCTGTTACTGGCCAACCCTCACAAGACACATGGGAGAAACGGGGCGGGGGGGCATCCAGTGGATAGCAAATGAGTTTGTGCCAGATCAGTCAGTGGGCTTGCTTGGGAGATGCTGACTTGCAACTCTGGAAACTTTGTGCCAATCTCTCGGTACCTGTTTTGATAAAAGGTGGGCCTTGTTTTGACCTCTTTCCCTCCCCCCCACTCGGAGACCAGTGAATGTTTGATTCAGGGTGCAAAAGTGAGGCCACTCTTGTGATTCGAAATTGCACAAAATAGTGCAAGAGGCTGCAATTGCCTAAGAGCAAATGGGGGTTAATGGGTGGAAGGGAAACACAAGTGGGCAGCAGCGGTCCATCTCATGCCAGCTGCGTGGAGGGTTTTGGTGGCGGTCTCCCTGGACTCGTCATCCAACTGCGGGCATCTCCCACGCTGGGAGCGCGGATTCCTCGCCTAGGGCGACGTGCTGCCATCTGGCCGCAGCGGGGCAGGAAGAGACTACCCCGGTTGGATTTGCGCCTGCTGCGCGTTCTTCACGGCAAGCAGGACCGGGAA